AGACAGCAATTAACACCGCATGAAATTTGCCTTGAACATTGTGCGGACTAACATGGAGCTGAACGACGTGATGGAGTTTGTCCACTTGGACGAAAAGTGATTTTACCTTACCAAAACCACGCGTAAGTACTTCCTCGTCCCTGGAGAGAAAGAGCCACAACGCACGAGCAAGTGGAAAAGGTATAGTACAAAAGTGATGTTACTCAGCGCTGTGGCTTGTCCACGCTACGTTGAGAGCACTGAAAATTGGTGGGACGGTAAAATTGGGACGTGACCCTTCGTTGAGTCCGTTCAAGCCCAGCGAGACAGTGCCATTCAAACCGCAGGCACCTATAAATCGAAGTCAGTTACCGCGGCCAAGGATGTGTACCGAGCGTTCTTGATAGACAAGGTATTGCCCTCGATTGTCGCGAAGGAACCCAGCCCCAACCAATATGTGATGCTCCAGCACGACAACGCACGAGCCCATTTCACTCAGTCAGATGCGAAACTTCTGGTAACCTGCACCAACTATAACAACGCAGGTTGGATGTTTTCGATTGAGCCGCAATCGCCAAACTCACCTGACGTGAACATCTTGGATCTGGGATTCTTAACTGCCAATCAGGTACTACAACATCGAACGTCTGCTCGGAATGCGGATGAGCTGGTGGAGAACGTAGAAGTTGCATTGGACGACTACCCCTTCGAGCGGTAGGACCGTGCATTCTTGTTCTTGACGCTCCAGGCGTGCAAGATCGAGACGATGAAGTACGGCGATGACTACAAGCTCCTCCAACTTGCCAAGGACATACAAGTACGCCAAGAATTCCTACCTGAGAACTTGCTGTTCCCGCAGGATACCTCGACAGTGTCAAGAGCGACCTGGATGCCATGGACCGTACCGACATGGAAAGGATCTTTGCAAAAGTGCTATATATGGACGAGCTGGCGCAATTCTTTAACGAATTGCCCTGAGTAACACAAAACTATGAACGAGGTGATGGCTGCAATAGAATTTGATATAATTCGATTTGATGACGGCGAGTAAGTTCATACCGATGCATGTTGTAGATATTGTGTGATGTTGGTAGGCTCGTTTAGAGGGTTTCTGAGGTAAACTTCCCTGCGGAATCGAATATCACTGTCAAAAATGTCACATCTGCCCGTTTGATTGATTCTGAGTTTTTCAATTTCTTTGATTTCACTGGTCGTTATACCTTTGAAAATGGGATATGTTGAATAAACTTATACAGTGAACATACTTTTATTCAAGGAATGATACACCACTTTCTGATCTACGCAAGTTTTTCTGGGACAAAGGGAGTACAAAACTATTATTCGGGCCTTCTCGTTAGTGCAAGGCTGAGAAGGATGGCCAGTTTTGAGTTTCATGTTGCAGGATTCAGACAGCTAAGCGAGCGAGTGCGTGTCGCTGCTTGTGGTGTGCACTATGCACAACTATTCTGACTACTTTGCAATCATCGCACGCTCAAGTGCCCTTCCCCATCGTTCTATCGCGCCATGAATTGTACGATGTGTCCTCTGCAAACGCCTCAGTTGCAATGCACGCGTAAAGGAGTAAAGATGTCGTATTCAACTTAGAATACTAATGAAATGAAAAGTTATAGTGGCAAAGCTTGTGTTGGTAGCTTTGTTGCCAATTGGACATCAAAAATGTGTCAGGACGCTATAAGCATTACAAAGACCGAGGTAGCGCTCCAACTTCATGCAGCCAGCGTAATCGCACACTTTTCCACCACCGCGCAAGCGACATAGTCCGCGAGAATGAACGGGGTTGTCGAACCCATGAATCGGAGTGCGAGGTCCATGTCGTTGACATAGAGCGGTGTACATAATCCTAATTTTTTGGGGGCACCCAGGATCTACAGCACATTTCGTCTCGAAATGTGGGTACAATGTTCGAAGTTGGTTCTAATTATTTAGAGTCAAATATCCATTGCAAATAGAAACAAGACATACAAACATTCACCCCCAACGCGCCGTCGTCGTACGAGTCACACGTCCTTGTTGTCGTGCGACAACTTCGTCGTGAAAGCGCGTAGGGGTCGAGATGGCCGCTTGGGGGGAATAAGAGCGTGCAGTTGACAGAGGGGGACAACAGGGACGTATTCTTCGTCAGTTGATGTGTCCATGGGCGAGGTAGATTTCGTATTGGTCATTAATTCATTTCTCTGTCGATATGCTGAGGTAGTGTGGAGACATGACTCCATGTTTTTCGGTGAAGTGCGGTTGGTGTGGCTTAAACTGTTGATATCTTCTCAGTCTCATAAGATATATACTACTCGTTCCACTGTCAGGTAGTTATTCACTTGATTAATGTATATACAAGTCAATTGAAGCGACTTGATTTTTGTATGCCACTACAATACAGCATGACCCGCTCCAGAAATCTTATTGTATTTTCTTATGTATCATTCAAGAGAATTGACCATGGCATCGAGGTGAACCTCTTCACCAAGTCGGCTATTCAAATGAGCCAATGCGCTCTTGTAGGACGAAGCATCAAACTCGACATTATACGATGCAAAGTCTGCAATGAGAGCGTCCTTCTTCATGTGAGGAAGCTTATACTCGTTGCTGCCATGTATTTCAATGGACAATTCCATATCTTTTTGAAGAGTTACGAGAGTCTTTGCAAGCGTGTCAGTCGGCAACTCATAGAATGCATTTTCTACAACAACAATAAGCTCCTTCCTCGATGGTTGGATTGCACTTTTGTACTGTAGACTTTGAATAGAATTAAAATATCCTAAATCAAACACGTTGAAATCGGGGCTGTTCGGGGGTTGGTCAGCCACTCAAATACCACAAACTCCATGCGCACAGAGTTTTTCTGTCGTTACATTTCTGTGCGGGCTTGCACTGTCTTGTTGGATCAGCACATTACCCCGTCTACCACATCTAGGAAGCTTTTCTTGGATGGCGGGGACGACCTTATTTAAAATGGTTTTAAAATAGAGTTGGTGCGTCGACGGTTTGTGGGGGGTGACCATGGCGCCCTTCGGCCTGTTCTTGCTTTAACCCTGCGCTGGCGCTACTTGAACGAAGGACGAAACACCGACCTTGCCGTCCAATTCCT